ACAATATTGGAAAATCCGCATCCGGCGCCGATCTTGCGTTTCGCCTTCATACCCGTAGTCACGAGCCACGCTGCGGCTTTTTCTTTATAATCGGCGTCTTTCGCCCCCACTCTGCTCCAAGCACGTTYTTCCARTATACYGTCGGCCACACCGCGGTCGGATAAAGAATCACTTTTATCGTAGGCTATATCGTGCTCCCTACACGCCGAATCCAAGCCGTTTATTCCTGGCTGTCCGAGAGCGAGTCTTTTTTTTAAATTAGTTCCCGGCCCGCAGTACTGATAACCGGGCAGATGTAATTCAATCGGTAGACTATTTATTACGGTGTTCAGCAGACCTGTACCACTATTGGTCTTGACCTTCGAACGCGGTAACATTATATGARCACGCTGCTCGAACGTCACGCGTATTTATACAATGAGATTTCTCAACCAAGAAATGAAGCTCAAAGWCGACAATATCGATTCACTATCGTCATGCGATACAACGCGYCCGCYTCGCCATGGRCCCCTATTCCCCAACGCGGTGAGAGCGCTGATCGTAGGCCCGTCGGGTAGCGGGAAAACGAACCTTATTTTCACTTTATTAGTACACGCGAACGGAATTAAATTCGAAAACGTGTATATTTATTCTAAAACGCTGGATCAAGCTAAATATGTATTGCTCGGTAAGATTTTGAGCGGCGTTCCGGGCGTTAAATTATTTAAATTCAGTGATAACGAAACGGTGATCCAGCCTGAAAAAGCTCTACCTAACTCGGTTTTTCTGTTCGACGATGTCATAACGGAAAATCACGGTATCATCCGATCGTACTTTGCGAGATCTAGACAYAAYCTSRTAGACGTGTGTTAYTTAGCTCAGTCTTACTCGCGCGTACCGAAGCAGCTGATACGTGACAACGCTAATTTCATAGTGCTRTTCAAACAGGACGAGATGAATTTACGTCACGTTTACGACGAACACTGTTCGGGCGATATCAAATACTCGGAGTTTAAAGATTTTTGCATGACGTGCTGGCGTGGAGGTAGATTTGAATTCGTCGTTATCAGTAGTGAAAACGAACGTGATAACGGGCGATATAGACACGGGTTTGATACATACGTAGTTATATAATAAGGCGCTACGCCGAAATTTACTACATTAACTCGGGATCATGGAYAAGGTGAACAACTCGACGACAGTRTCAWCGCCTGCTATTTTGACTGATATAATTCAAGCGAGGGCGAATATAAAACAAAAATATAACGCGTTAAAAACGGGGCGGTTTGAAACGGAGGCRTTAATAAATAACACATTTAGCTCGATTATCGAACCTCTTAGCGAAATAAGGTCGAATATCAAGAAGAAGCCGTTTCCGGTGGTAACGCCCTCACCGACGCCATCGNTAGGTGATACATGCACGCGTGTTATACTTACGTCTACGTGTCTATAGGCAACATACAATACTATTTTACGACGTTATATTATTGTTATGGGTATTAAATAGACGAAAGAAAAAAAACAATCAAGTCCAAWGCTTTGTGTTGAGGATTCGTTGATTTTTTTTACGACGACCACTATAATATTTCAAATTAAAAATTATTATCGCCATGCGCTGTCGCAGGTTTATTAATATAGAATGTMTAATCAACGTAGGTACTATATAGGTAGGTATACAGTGTGTAACTTTTATGATCGATCGATAAATTCTCGCGGAGCGTGTCCTAATCGTCATACCTACGCGACAGCCGCAGCCGTCAGAATGGTGCACGCTCGCGTTGTCCCACTATATATATCTGCACTCTGCAATATTATAGTAATAATATTATTATTAAATCACGCGAAACGCGCCGCCGGGGTAAGARATTTTAAAAGCGTATAATGTTGACGACGAAAAAAAATTTAAAAAAAAAAACACTTACACGTAAATCTGCGGGTCTATCTATAAATAACGAAAACACGTCTCCAGTGCCGAATCTATGTCCGGGGTGCAACTACTGATAAATTATTGGAGACACATAAAAAAATTGCATTTCATAATATATTTGATGCATTAATAATTATACATGGATATATTTTTTATTGTGGATAAATGTGAATATAATATTGGGTTTAAAAGAGAAAACATTTCAACCAGATTTAGRCATCTAAATAGTGACATWAGATGGGRTAAAACAGAATCCATAACAGTTTAAAATGAACGGGCGGGGGAGTAATTTGTCAAAAAACTTTTTTTCTTGGCCATTATTCGATATTCTTAATAATTTATATATGTATAAGTTATAAAATCTAAGATACCAACTCGACTAATCCTCCCCAAAAAAACTCAGGCTTGAAGTGTTTTACAACTCCTGCGCCCTCGTTAAATTCGGCACTGTTGCACGTGTTTATATAATAGTCACGTTTACACGCGTTTCCTGTGAGGCTACAACTACAAGATAATAATATACAATATTATTATTTACGATATATTATTGTGTAACGATTAAATTATTATGACCTATATAAAATATATGGAAACTTATATTATACGAAACGGTTGATATGTAGTTGATATGTTGTCGGCAAAAGGTCCGACGATCGTCGGCCGAATTGAGAAAAAGGTAAACAAAAAACACAAAAAAAAAATATACAAACATATAAAKGGGGCAGCTGGTATAATATTATATTTTGCAATCCGAAATCGTCGGTGCCGTATCGAAATCGCATTATACCACACCGTCCTGCCGTGATGGTTCGACGTCGATATTATATAATATAATATATCGTATCGCAACAGTGTTTCGAACTGATATGTCGTTTCGTTGTTTAAAAAAAAAAAAAATAATAATAATAATAATATGGACAACGAACAAACGAATATAATATTATGCGAGAGTTTCGGACGCCACGCATTTTGACGCTCGCGTCATAACTCGCGTTTTTTAACATTCAGAGGTGCCTATACCCAACTGACAGGATGAAGTAGGTACCCATCATCATAATAATATATAAAAATATTGTACAGCCTTTGCGTGGATCATGCATCACGCTAGTACAGCACTGGCACACTCGATATATATTTATTTTTTTTTATTCAATCTCGACGTGAGTTCGGCAGGTCATAGCTGTTTAGGCATATACAATAATATAATAATATTACATTATACGATTACGACGTGTACAATAGATGTATAGATGGATCGCGTGCATGCGTGTTTGCGTGTGTGTGCAGGTGTGTTGTCAGTGTATGTGTGTGTGGTGTGTGTGTGTATGTATTTTAATGTGTGTATGTGTGTGTTAATGTGTGAGTGTGTGTGTGTGTATAGTTCATTTGAATTGGTGTAGGGCGAAGACGAAAACTATCAGGATGCGGGACAGGACACGAGTTTCACCGATCCCGTTGGCCGACGACGAGTATTTCTTGCCCACGCAGTTCATTCTCTCCACCGGCAAATTCAAGACGCTGAACTCTCTGCGAACAAAACACAAACAGTTATAGTCTTTATAATATTATTTTAGTTATCTTGTGATTGGAATTGAATTTCGTAAATAAAAATTATTATTATTATCATTATCCTTAATTTATTCATCAATTCATCATCGTCATTGCAATCAATTGAATTATTTATGAAAGTAAAGACGGTAGTAGAGAATGGACCATGCAGGCACCTATAAATATTATTACTTACATAAAACAATATAATACTATTTGTATATAACAAAATACGGATGACGACATGGCGCTATGATGGTGTTGTATGCTATACGATTTAAATCATATTATATTTAATATTTATATAAACGTCATATAGCACAATATTTTTTTATTTAAAAGTACGTGCTGTTGCCCACTCCCCAGCGCATTAATTTTCAAAATGTTCAATAAAAAAAATGAATGCGGGAATATTAAAAACACTCATTTATAATTTTTTCCAATAACACTTGGCACGTGTTAGCGCGAATAGTATACTATGGGATTTATTTCATATACACGGCCGGGGCGCCACGATACGCTCTGCTGTTTAATCGAAAATACAGAACAAAATATAAAGCACACATTTGTGTACTTAAGTGACAGTTTATATTTCGATTTTTCCTAAAATTTATTCGGGCACAAATATCACCTACCGACTAATCGGTAATATGTCGGCGAATGCGAATTCAACACATTTGGTTACCAGAGAACCGATTTGAAATGAGTTTGACGATTCTGTATTTTTTTTAATTTAATACTAAAACGTATTATATTATATTAAAATCCTACTAATGCCCTAAACAGTGGCTATCGGAGAGAAAGGAGTGGTGCCCGAGAACCTGCAGCTATWTTCCAGGAATTTTCATTTTTCTCGGATAAAAAGACCTAGTTGAAAAACAAATATACCAAGTTCTTATACAGTTATACCTATTCTTAACTTCGTATGATTTATTTAAACTGAACTGGAAATTTAATTAAAATTCCTTGAATCAGTAATATAATGTTTCAAATAACGGTTTATAACTTAATACTTATTATTACTATTATATACTTATTACCTACAGGCGACAGACCTACACTAAACTAGTTCGGTGTAAAATAGTGAAATAATATCTAACAAACTTCAGTATCGTATAAAGCATTACAATTTATAATAAATTGTGATAAAAGCTCAAAGCGATTTAAAGTTAATAAAGTTTGTTTTACATCAATATGTGTGTTCTACACACTATATGCGGGTGTAATTATTTCAAAAATATTATTAACAGTAGCGCATTAGCATTTGTTTGTTTGGCTTGTTTTTGTTTTATTTCTGAATAAATTACTCATTCAAAAGAGTGGATAATCATTATAATATCAAAGAACGATGCACGATTTTGTTTTTGAATTTGTAACTTAAAGCATTGTTATGCTAATTTTATGCCTGTTCTCGGATTTCCTATATCGCGACTATTTTTATTACGGCTTTATATGTCATAGGTATATAAAAGCACCAAAGGTGCAAAAATGACAAATCTATATCCGGTTAAAATTACTACCTATTTAATATAAGTAGTTATTTAATAATTGCTATTATCTTATAACAAATTGTATTATATTAAAAAAATGTTTAACAATAAATTGTTAAATTGTAATATAGGTACAWGCAAATCAATATAAATTTAATAAATCAGTACTTAGTTCTAAATTGAATATCTGTTATTTAATATCTATTCACCGTGACACACAGGTACCTAAGATTTGGCACTTATGTACGATACAATTTTGGAGCTTTTATACGATACGACTTTTTTTTCTCTTACCTATCTCAATTTAGCATTTATGCAGTCTTTTACCGTTTATTACAATAATGGGCGACACATTTTGAAAAAAAAAAATAGTTAAACTTGCAATTTGAATTCACTCCGCGCTTCTTTTACCAGTTCATACAATATTATTTATTTTTGTAGGTATTGACTACTATATACGAATTTTAAATATTGTTAATATATAAATAAGTGTATTAAAGATTATAGATTGTAAATGCATTTCAATAAATTGCATGGTGGATAAAATATACTTATATAAACATTTGGTGAAAATTTCATGTAACTATGGTCATTTGTTTTAAAGTTACATCAAAAACCAAAATCGATTTGGTCGAAAACTGATTGTACGTAAAATTTCCCGTTTTTTCCTTAATTTTTAGTTTGTTTAGAAAAATATTGAGCATTTTTTACTTTTGACCGTCCAAAGTACCAACTAGATTCACTTTTTGATCTAACAAGGTACTGAAGTCAAAAATCGAAGAATTTTTACAGCCTCAAAATTTGATGGCAGACACAAAAAAAAACACACATCATGGTAAAATCAACACATTCCTCGCTCCGCTCAGAATCTAAAAAAATTATAAAATAGTTATTTGTATTAATTTTCAAAATTTACATTTGCATGAATAAAAATACTTCTTATGATTTATTTAAGATAATTTTTCTTTAATTTATAGATTTTAGAGTATTCTGTAATCAATAATCATATTATAAAAAGACTCCAACGCCTCCAACATAATATATATATTTTTGTTAAGTGTGTTGTGTATTTAATATTACTATTACAATTTATAAAATTATTTAGCATTTTATTATTTTTAAGTTTTTTACTAAATTTTATAAGACTAGTTGTATATGTATTAGTATATGTTTAGGAAAACCGTATAATCGATAACAAAAATTAGAAACTCCTTTCTAGTAGGTATCAACAAATTTTGTGCTTGCACAAAATGTTGAATTGCAAACTAATTATAATATTTCCGACAAAATACAACTGTACTTATAAAATCTTTCTTTGGTAGGTACCTAGGTATTACTTATCGAATTGAATTCGCTAAGAATTTTTTTTTTCATGCAATTTTTATTTGAAAAATACAAACTCCACTATAGTGACATCCCTAAGACGTATAGTTTCAATTATATCGGAATCTGGCACCGATATCGTTGTACTCGATTTTTTTTTAAAACGTTATTTCTATTCAGCTATCYGTTGCGRAATCTGAATTATATTAGAGCTTGATTTTTTGATAAAATAAATAAAGCTTTTTGTTAATACTACAGTTTTTAATGACCCTTCTGCAAACACACTTCCATCGCCAGACGATCCACGACCCTCAATTGTGCATGTGGAAATACATATATTATTATAATTTTATAAAATTTTTCAAACAATACACACCTGTGTTCTTCTTCCATAAGGCAGAGTATGTGTTTCTTCTGTATGATGTCGTCGTCGTCCCGGTGACGTAACTCTTTCAGCCAATCTCTGTACCAGCGCAGATCACAGTCACAAATCAGCGGGTTATCTATATGGAGACAAAGAAAAATAAATAAAATATTTAACTTTCGGGATTCAGGTATACCTAACATTCCGAAAAGGGTCGTTTTTGTCCGACCTAATCGTCCGGAACGTCACGAGTTACTGGAAATAATGTCCATTTCAATGGTCATTAATATTGCGTTATGTTTGGTGTTTCTTTTGTTTTTTTATTTTTATTTCATGGTATAATTTATCCCTCGGAATGGGTTTTTTTTTGTATTTTAAAATTCATATTTTTATGGGGAAATAATATAATAATATATAGGCGTAGCTTAATGTGGCGCGGCCGCACGATGAACTGTGGAAACGCTCAGAGTGAAGGTACCGGCCGGTGTTGCTAGCTCCCGGATGGGTGACCGACCGACCAACTGTTAAACTCTATAAACATCTAATGGCCATATAGTTGCTGGGATTTGTATCAATAATAAAAAATACAATAAATAAATAAAATAAAATATGTACAAAAATAATATAAAATAACGTCATTCGAGAAATTGGTTAATTCTGTGGCGGAGTAAAGGAAAATTTTACGTAACAGTTATTTCGTGACTGAATACGGGATGTAGGTGTTTACAGTTGTTTGTAAAAATTTTTATTTATTTAATTAGTAGTTTGATACTTTTGAATCATTAAGTCACCAAACGATGTTGATAAACTGATGGAGATGAAGGCTGCTTTATTAGACATTTAATAATAAAGGAATTCATAAAAAGTCAAACCAAACAACTGAATTAAAAAATATTATGAAATATTTTTGAGCACCGATGGAAAAACTGTTTTTCATTATTTTCTCTTAAAAGAAAAATATATATTTACGCGAGAACTAACCTACATATCTAAGTAAAAACGTGCAATATCCCGTAAATTATTTCTCTTACAAAATGGTGTATTCATGTATCAAAGAATAAACCTGTCATAAAAACAAATCTCTCTCCCTCTCTCGCGCTACGTACTCAATTGACAGAATGTGAAAAAAGCGTTATTGCAGCAGACCACCATCGACAATCGTATTTTATAACACTAATATTCAATTCCKTGTATATGACGTTTGTGTGGACAACAAAAAACTTTAAAATGATTTTTAAAAAAACGAAACCCATTCATTTGACATAATATTTACAACTAAAACTTATTATTATTTCTTCCGTTCCTAATTGCGGGGAACTCAYTCATAAGAAAGTAAGTGGGTTAGAGTGGGGGTTGGTTGCATATCCATCGACATACCCATAATATCAATAACAGTTGCGGTGTCTACGATCGCCTCGAGCGCTTCTTCCGGCACTCGCGTCAGTTTGTTGTTTTGCAGGTTTAGTATTTCCAAAGAATTCAAATTTTCGAACGCCATCATTGGTAAAGTTTTGATGCTAAAACAAAAATAAAGAACGTTAACTTTGAATCCACAGAGAAAAATAAAATATAGATAGGTATTGAGTTCGGTATGAATTACTCATTTTTTTGCAAATTCAAAAACGTGATTGAATCGCCAAAACCAGTGAAAGCGTCTTCAGCAATATGTGATATGTTGTTTGCTTTGAGGTCTAAGTGTCGAAGTCTATGCAAACGACGGAGCGATTCGCTAGGTATTGAGTGCAAGTTATTGTCACCCAATCTTAAATATTGAAGATTTTCTAAAACACAAAAATGTATAATATTATGTTGTATGTATAGCACAGTCTATTATTTTATTATTTATGATTCACATAAAATTTGTTTATATTAATCAAAATCATTTTTGAATAATTTAATGAGTTTGTATTTTAGCAATTAAAAATGTTGGTTGAGATTTTTCTTTAAGTGTTCACAATTATTATATGTAATCTGGAGAAAATTACACGGATTAATAAATTAATGTTTTATACTTAATAATGTAATTTACTGTAAATAAAACTCTTAGCTTTTTTATTGACTATTATCTGAAGCAGGTTTTAAAGGAACAAGACATCGGTTACATTTACTTTGTCATCAACTTTTTTTTTTTAAGTCCCGTAAACATATCAGTTTTTTAGCTTGATATGCTTTTTAAGACAAGTATTTCACCAAATATCAGACTAAAAAACTATTACTCGTTGGAATTTCAGCCTCTATAGTGTTTGGCGTCGATCCATAAAACCTTTAGTATAATTTGTTTTGTTGTTCAGTTTCAGGACCCTAAAGTAAATTGAWCGGCCAACTTTGTAACACCAAAAACTCAGTATTTAAACGTTACAACTTCCGGCTTAATTTATTTCCTACGTATGATGATAATTTATTTTATGAATAAAAATAAAAATAAATACCTGCAAATTCGATTAAAATTGGAATCACCTAAACTACTCGTATTAGTGCATAATTATCTAAATATTGCAGGCGATAATGAGCTCAGAAACTTTTAGTAAAAAACGGTATAATTTTTATGTATTTTTTTCATTTACTATAAGTACATATTACTCTGTGTAGTTTTTACATCGTCTTTTAAACTTTAACCTAAGGTACGCCGTACGCGCAACAATGAAGTGTAATCTGTTTCAATTTTCGATGTGATTGACATAAAATCGATGCCTATCACATCAAATCTTTTATCACCTTAAAAGATTTTCTCTGGGGAAAAGAATATACGTTATTGACAACCATCATCGTCATCATCAGGGCAATCCGGAAATTAAGGCAAGATATTTGAATAGAAAATCTATGGACTATATATATTTATACAGTGCAATAATAATGCAACCTTTACCGCAAAACATTAATTACTAAGTAATATTTAATTTAAAACATTTACATTGTGAACTTCAGATTGATTAAATATGATCGATTTAGTCGATGTTTTTTTCCACGAATAAATTATATTCTGATATCACAAAGTATTTAGATKGGATTTTTTATTTAGGAATAAACCGTATAAAAAAATTAAAAAAAAATTGTTTTATAAAAACTACTTAAAATATTTGTTTCGAAATGTATTGTTCATATTAAATAATTTAATTATTACTAGTATTATTATTATTTTTTGTATCGATTTTGTCCAATATTATTTTAAATACACAATCGTAATTTGAAAAATCAATTGTTAAAAATGTATGCTCATTGCTCAGCTTAACATAATGCATATAGCTTATATAACAAAATTACTATAACATTTAGCGTAACAATCACACATTACTTTTGTTTTATTTGATTGTGCAATTTGAAGTATTACTGATATTATCGTGTAGACAGTAATGTACATTCACCTTAGGACTTTGAATTATTTTTTTGACTGAGTGCTTCAAATAAAAAAAAAACATAAATTATGAATTATAATCGGTATTAAAAATTAGTTGTATGATGTTAATTGGGTAAGTAATTATTGTGTAATAAATCCACCAACCAACCATTAATCAATATTAGAATATTTTGAGGACATTTTTAAATTCGTTAGTTAATTTGTTTTAATACAGTTAAGGTATTCCCGTGTTGTATATCCGTTTATTGCGAAGGAAGTATAATTACTAATTACATAGTTACATTTTTATGATAAATAGATGCAATCTCCAGTTAAAATTAAATTTTTATCCACTATACATGCAATTTATTGTAATTTATTATAATTGTATTTGAGCATTATTATTTTCTTGAATAATTATTATATATTTTTAATCTAAATATATATAATTCATATTATGCTATTTATATCAAGGTATAGTAAAAGAGGATTTATCTTTGTTAGGTAAAACAATGTACAATGGAATATGAAAATAGTTTTATCATTTAAATACAAGATATACTGGGGGAATTTATCAAGGATGCTAACCTAAACCCCATTTTCACTTTCATAATGAATTTATTCAAATTCTGAGTTTTTGAATTTTTAAGTACACTTAAGGCTCTTATTTTCAAATACTTTGATTTTTTTATGCAATTTAAGGAGTGTCCCTTAGTGGTATTTTTTTCAGATGAAAACCAMTCTTTGTATTGTAAACTGTTAAAGGATTTTAGTGCACTATTTGTTTTCTCTCCGATTCACGCCCATCATACAGCGAAACAAGCATTTACGAAAAATTGTTTTTTTTTTACAATTTTTGAGTAATTTTACAAGTGAAATCATCTACAAAATAAATCAATTAAAACTATAGAGAATACTATTTATGCGGGTATAGATGTGTCGGTTTTGTATTTTAATTTGTGAAAACTAAAAATAAATAATTGTTTTGCTTTAGTATTGCTTTAGTGGATAAGATTGAATACTCATTCTGTAAGTTATATTTAAATTATTGAATGTGATTGTGATACAACCATTTTCTTTGATTTGGAAGTATTATGTGTATATATTTTGGTGGTTTTTGAATACGTCAATGTTATGTTTTATGGAAGACGTAAAATTGTTTTTTAAGGATCATTATTTTTAGTGCTTAAAGTTAAATGACATAGAAACRTCTTGTTAAAATTTTGATTTATATTTATTACAATCCTCAAAAATATCATCTGCTTCACAATTAGAAAAAAAATAAAAAAATAATAGATTTGAAAAAAATTATTAAATGGTATAAAATATCTAAATATCTAAGATTAAAGTCATTTGTAATTAAAAATATAAGAATTTGAATAATTAATTATTAGAGGAAAAATGGGCAAGTATAATAATTATGTCTTGTAGAATGAAAAAGAATATCTGGTCATTTGAATCACATAATTCACCAGATCAGTCGTATTTTTGTTTAAACAGTGTAAATGATTTTTTTTTCATTTATTTTACCAAAATGATTTTTCTCATTTTAAATAAATGGTTKACTTAGGTAAATGTTCCTCATTGTTTATAAAGACCAAAGAAGACGTGACTTAAAGTTTGAAAACTTAAAGACTATTCTAAAAGATAATTTACTTTAAAATGGTAAAGGTTTAACTATACCACTTGAMGAAAGAACATGTCAATATAAAGGTCACTTTAATGAYTTTTCTAAAACTTTGATAATTATTACGAGTACCTATACATTTTTTTAATAATTCTATATTAAACCTAAGTTATTTGTTTTAATTTCATACGRCATTCTATGTTTTAAACAATTTTTGCAAATTTGAAGATAATTGTTAAGTACATTATTGTAGTTATCGATCAGATATTAAAAAAATTATGTTTTATTTAAATCTGTTTATTTGTTATTTTGAAATACACGTGGTCAACGTAAATATATTTTTATATTAGTCAACGTTATAATTAACATTAAATACAGAAAAAGTAATTAAAAATGAATTTTTATTAATATGTATGTAATTAAAATTTTCGACGAAGATGGGTAAGATGAAATCGACATTATTGTTAACTAACGTTTCCTATACCTAAGGGGAGTATCCCCCTTATCCAAGAATATATATATATATAGGATGCACAGCATACACAGCATGCATAATCATAAATTAAACATTTTTGATAAAACAGGACAGGAAAATGTTTAGAAAAAGAATATTATAACGGAAAGCTTCAATAAWTTATGCGATACAATCGTTCGCATTGGGTCTGTGATGTAGACACGAATTTAATTTTACTCATAATAATTATTGCTATTTCTTACCAAATTTTATTGTTGTTGATTAATATGTTGGGTAGGTATATTATAATTCTCTTGTAAAATTGTAAATCAATATTTCTATGTTAATGTTTACAAACTATATTTCGATATCCATTCACGAGCGTTTATTATTAATCATATTATATTGGTACATAGTAAATTCATTAATTTTTTAACTGGCAAAACAGCATCCTTGAACTATTTACGGGGGAGGGGGCAGAGTCCCCATTAGCTCATAAGTCATAAAAATGTTAAATTTTTCTTTTACGGGATTATAAAAAATATAATTATAAACGTAACGCTTTGTTTTAACAAAAAAAATGAAAAATTCTTAAATACGCCATTGAACTATACTGCTACGATTTTCTTCCGTTTGTATAATCAGGGTCGGCTCCAAAGTCTTGAATTAGTGAGGAGGGGAAGACTAAGTCATAATTTTCAAGAAATTTTAATGTTATAAAATGTTTTTTTTTTAATTTTTTTTTTTAAATAAACAATTTTTAGAAATAAATGCGAGGGTGGTGTCAACTTTCAACGCTCTATAGTGTAGCATAAAATATGTATAACTGAAGTGCCTTAACATGACTTATTGTTTGATAAATCATAAATGTCAAAGTTGTACAATATGTTTACAAATCACAACAAAATCGGTCTTTCGAGGGTTTATAGGCAAACATGAAACAAATATTTACAGTGCAACACAATAATTTATTATTATTTGCGTAAATTAAGTTAAATGTTCAATGATTTATTAATAGCACATCGTTTGTAAAACGCATATTATTACATATTATAGTATTTTTTTTTTTTAAGTGATAACGTAATTTATGCCACTATTTTTTGTATTATTGCTTGTGTTTTAAWAATAATTATTCAAATAATCATCCATTTCAAAGGTTAATAAAAATAATGAAGTTTATATTTCCACACAGAACACTATTTGTTGAAGRACATAAAAAATCTAAATCATTGAAAATACGAGTATTAAGTTCTTAATTTATCCGACTATGCTTATAAATATACGAAATTCCTAATTTGAATAGTTGTATTTTACTAATAGAAATAATAAAACAAGGGAGCATGCTTGACATAAATTATTCTAAAAA